TCAAACACACCTGAACTAGCTAATCAAGGTCTTACTAGGTATACTTGAAACTTCCAGACAGGTGTGTTGAGGCAAGTTGGAGCTAAACTCAGCAGGACACCGGCCCTCCAGGACCGAGTTTGGTGACACCTGGTTTATAGCTTTGCTTTAAAAACTGACTGGGTAAATTGTTCCACAATATGGAACCAAGAAAAAGCTGAACACTCCTAGTCTTTAGTCTAGACCTGGGGACTAATAAAAGTCTCTGATCCAAAGACCTTCGACATCTGCCAAGTGTTTTATATTCAAAAGGTCATAAAGATGAGAATATGCGAGTCCTTTAAATTTCAATGTTTGTATTTTATGAAATATTTGCACACTCCCAAATATTATATGAGACACCATCCAATTCATCACTGAATGCTTTGAATATTTATCTAGTAGGTGGGTTTAATGCAGTATAATCCAACCTCACATTTAATGGGATGTCCCTGTTTTCTCTTCATATAAATTAGAGTCTAATCTGCGATAGAAAGTAGAAAGTCGAACTCACAGCTGAAATATTGTACCACAGCTTTGAAGTGGCAGCTTTGAGGAACACAGTAAACAACAGGGGCAGGCTACAAAGGATATAATCAATTGTGAAAATGTCTGACCAGAGCATCATGGAGGACAACAGTCAAGAAATCCAATATTGCTTTCCAAACCACAATTTGTCATGTTTCAGAGAAATCAAACCTGAAGTGGAATATGTCATTTTGTACATGTTCATTTTTTTATTATCAGTGTTTACTGTGTTTCTGAACCTGCTGGTGATCATCTCCATCTCTCACTTCAAGCAGCTCCACACTCCAACCAACCTGCTCATTCTCTCTCTGGCTGTGGCTGACCTGATCGTGGGACTGATTGTTATACCGTTAATGGGCATCAGATTCATAGAATCATGCTGGTACTTTGGAGAGACATTTTGTTCTCTTTTTTTATTTATTATTTTTATGGTTGTTACAGCATCTCTTGGTAATTTGTTTTTTATATCTGTAGATCGTTACATTGCTGTGAGTGACCCTTTGAGATACACAGTAAGGGTCACGGCTGATAAAGTTGTTTTTTGTATTATTATAAATTGGTTGTGTTGTGGCATATATTCTGTCATTATCTTACACGATACTATGTTCTACCCAGAGACACATGACAGGTGTTATGGAGACTGTAGAGTATCTTTTAAGTTTGAACATGTTGTCACAGACCTCATAGTCACTTTCGTTGCCCCTTCTTCTGTAATCATGTCTATATATGTGAAAATCTTCTGTGTTGCAAAATACCAGGCCAAGGTTGTAAATTCTGTCACAGGTGTCAGCAGATCACAAAGAAAGGCAGGAAAAACTCTGGGGATTGTTGTTGCCATTTTCTTCATGTGTTGGATACCTTACTATGTAGTCATCCTTATTGAAGGAAATAAGTCAACAGAATCGGTTGAACTTAATGTAACATGCTGGATTTTGTACATGAATTCCTGTATGAATCCTCTTATCTATGCACTGTTTTATAAATGGTTTAGAATATCAGCTATATACATTGTGACTCTAAAAATATTTAAACCATCATCTGAATACTTGAGTCTTTTCCCAGAGGATAAATGATCAATTCATTATTTTTTAAAGAGTTTAAAATAATTTTGTGTGGAGAGTCACTGATCTGATATATTTTTCTTGTTTCCTTGTACAGTGATTATTACTTTGTATTTGAAGGCATTTTTTATTGTACATCAGCAAGTGAATGTTATAAACTCCTTGATGTAGGTTGGTAAATGTGTAAAGGAAAGTTCGGAGAGGAGGAAATCTGAGAGCAAATCGACTGTGATATCATGACAGCTATCTGCTGGATTATTTTATTTAACAGAAAACAGTTGTTTTCTCTTGACCATATTAACATTTTTAACATGGACCTTGTATGTTGAGACCATGTCTAAATCCCGTTATCTTAAAATAATAATAATAATACAAAAAAACTCGTCTACCATGTCATGAGATTTGTAAAATATTCCATTCCTTTTTTACTCACAATTTGTACAGTGTCCCAACTTTTTTGGAATTGGGTTTGTATAACATGGACCTTGTATGCCTGCCTAATATCTGAATCCTCTTTGCTTTATTTTAACAGCTATAAAATATAATTTAAACACATAACTCCTTAGAATATTTGAATCCGTATGCTCACTGATGGATAATGATGTTTGGAAATCAAGACTGGAATGTTAAATTCAGTGAATGTCATTCTCTCAATGAACATATATGTTCATAAACGGTATACTAAGCAAATATTAATTTTAGCTGCAGTTATATAGCCATGAACATGAATTGCACTCTCTGAAACTTTCTTTGTCTCCCCACATTAGCTTTATCTGATTTTATTCCTCGTATTATTCTTGAGAATACTAGAAAAGATTTGTACTGTGATATTTTTTAATTTTCTGTCTTTAAAGACTTTCATAAAGATATCCATAAACAAACAAAAGGTTTAACCAGGAGCCAAGCACCAAAGCACCTTTTGTATGTAGTTCATCTGATTTGCAGTCAATGGCATCTTGCAGAACACTTTGTAATCAGTTCACACACTGATTGAAGTTAGTCCAAACATTTATGGCACAAATTTTGGGATCCTTAACTCCAAAACATCTTTGGGTACTTAAATTTGTTCAATTTATTAACAGCGCCATCTACTTGAGCATTTGCACTCCATCAGCACTAAAGAGCTTCACCTACAAGACTGCCAAGTTTGTCTGGATTGCATACCCTTACGTAACAAAAATGTATAGGATTTTATACTGCAAAATATAATGCGATATATTACATAATACATTTCCATATATGGGAAACTAGTGCTTATATTTTTCAATATACAGCAATATATGCATTGACAATGTATGGCTATATACTGATACATAAAAATATATTTAGAAATGAAGATTTAATGTGTGATCCTTTATTGAGTATATATTGCACACACATGTTGCCATATATATGTGAATGCATGTACACACATATACACACACACATTCACTGAATGAGTTACAGCTGATTTCTAATTCCCAGCATGCTTTGCTTCTGACTGGAGAGTAAACATTTTAACAGTAAGTGTTATTTCATGTGTTTTTGCTCAATATTATTATAGGGGGAGATATGTTGGTGTTTAATGTTGTGATATTTTTTTTATTTAAAAGGGGTTTCTGGTATGTGTAAGTTTGTGGGGTTACCATTGTGCTGAAGAGTAGAGCCTGTGGTTAGGATGACGATTGGCCAAGTACCTTTAAGATGGTTAAATACTTAAATTAAAAGTAATGGATGTGCACTTTTCAGCAAAGTGATAGTCTGTTCACCAAGTGTATTATGAGTTGGTGTGCTTATGCTATTGTAAATGAGCTATATTAAAAAAAATAAGTATATTGTAAATGATTGTTAAACATAAGAAATATATATTTCAATATTTGTGTGCGTGTGTGTATATACTGCATGAGTTCGTTATATTTCTACATATGCAGTACCATATCTTATCACATGTACATCTATATATTATAAAGTGTATTACTGAATATAAAATTACATTGTGATATATAAGTAAATATATTGTCACATTTTTCAATAAATGAAAGCGGCAATCCCTTATATTATTCAATATATCGTAATATATTTACACAAAATATTATTCTGTATATTTTCTAATATACCGTTATATCATTTAATATATTGTTCATTCATATATTAGTGAGGGTAGCCCTGTTAGCTCCTGCTGGTAGATGTCATAATTACATTATTTGGAAGCAAACTGATTCTTTTTCCACTGATGGGCAGTTTTTAATAGCCATGCATTTTGGAAAAATTTGCAAATAACATCCTAGTAAGCAAATGGTAATATTATAGTGTATCTTTTGCCTGGGCCTGCTATCTCTCCGGTTATTTTTTTATTATTATTTTTCATTTTCCTCTCTTTTGCTGCTCAGGATAGTCACTAGTGAAGGAGATGGCAGATTACAAATCTTGTACTTCTGGTTGTACAAACCATTAGATGTCATTGCCACATTGCTCTGGGCAAATTTGGTTACAGTACCACAGACTGCCACAGTATCCCCTTAATTGTTGATTGAAGCAGTATTAATCGGATTATTTATAGTGAAGACATTTTCTACATTTTGATGCTTATATATAGACTCATTAGAATACGTTGTAAGTTTCAAACAGAAAACTAAAGTAAATGTGATATTTTTTTTTATAAATATTTACTCATTAAGTTTTTTTTGTTGCTTTTATCTTGCACACAGCTGATTTTTATTATTATTATCTGAGTAATGTTGTCACAATAAAGATGTAGAAAGATTTGAATGCTGAACCTTTTTAATAGGTCTCAGGAATATAACAGAATCACCCCCCCCCCACACACACACTTTCATGTTCTGTATGTTTTGGGATTCAGGGGAACAGGAGACACATGCAGTAATAGTTTGTATTACAGTTATTTATCTCTTATTTATTTCCTGACACAGCTGTATACACAGTTTTACAGTGGGTTGTCTTTAACCTGTTAACCTGCTATCAAACAGCAGGAGGTTTTGAAGATAAATGTTGCAGTACATAAAGTGAATTACTACAGTCTGGCCAGCAAAATACATATTGAAATCAGTTTTAACATTACAGATTACTGATCATTTACCTCTGGGAACAGACTTAAATATTCTGAAGATGGCTCAAATATTTTCAGAGACAGAATGTGTTTAGCTGATGTTCTAAACCATTGATAAAATAATGCATAAATAAGAGGATTCATGCAAGAATTCAAATACATAATCCAACACATAATATTCATTACAGCTGATTCATTTGAATCGTATCCTGGAAAAAGAGAGACTATGTAATATGGTATCCAACACAGAAGATAAACTACTATCACAATTCCCAGTGTTTTTGCTGCCTTTTTTTCTGACTTGCTGACATTTGTGACAGAGTTTATAAGCCGAGCTTGATATTTTGCTACACAGAAGATCTGCCCATATAAAGATATGATTACTGAACAAGGGGCCACTAATGAAACAATGAGGTCTGTGAGAACATACTCAAACTTAACGGTAACAATACAGTCCCCGTAACATGTTATTAGGGTTTCTGTACTGAAGATAGCATCATATAGCATGATAACTGAATATATGCTTGAACATAGCCAGTTTAAAATTATACAAAAAACAGCTTTGTTGGTTGTGACCCTTGTTGAATATTGCAGAGGAACTTTCACAGCGATGTAACGATCTATAGATATGAAAACTAAATTACCAAGAGATGCTGAAACAACAGTGTAAAGGATAAATGGAAACAAAGAACAAAATGTCTCTCCAAAGTACCAACATGTCTCAATATATCTGATTCCCATCAGTGGTATAACAATCAGTCCAACAAGTAGGTCGGCCACAGCCAGAGAGAGAATGAGCAGGTTGGTTGGAGTGTGCAGCTGCTTGAAGTGAGAGATGGAGATGATCACCAGCAGATTCAGAAACACAGTAAGAACAGAGGCTAAAGAAATAAAAATGTATAAAACAATGCACTCCACTTGAGATTTGATTTCCTTGATGCACGACAAATTGTTGTTTGAAAAGCAGTACTCGATTGCTTGTTTGTCTAAGTCTGTCATTCCCCTGTTAAGCATTTCAAAAATATATTAGGAATACCACAAGTATCAAAAATAAAACAGCTTCATCATAGCAACATTTTGTAGTTATAGAAGGATTCTCAAGCTTGTTAGTTTGGTGTCTTGATAATCCAATTTTGTGGATTAATTTATATTAAAGGAAACCTGGCCTCACCATTACACAGGAGGGTTGATGCTACTGTACACACCCATAAGATAAATATCCATAACCATAGAGAGAATGATTTGTAGGGAAATTACAGTTAATCCCCATAGAGAGACCAATATTCTCAATGGTCCAGGAGTAAAAAAGTTCACTCAGTTGTCAGAGAATTTACTGAAGACACACTTCCAGTTCTCCACACTTCCAAAGGCCGTAGAAAATGAGTAAGAGGAGCCAGCCTTGAACTAACTTAGAATTCAGAAACACTAGTACTTATAGTCATATGGATCATCATTAGACGTCATTTCTACAGGTTCTGATAGGTTAACGGTAAAGTTAATTCTAACAACATCTAACACAGTGTTCTTTTCTTGGAGATACTAAGTTCCATTCGTAAGCAACTATCTTAAGGGTTGTAGGTGAGTAAACTGCATTCCTGCATTACTGCGTTCCTGACATGGGTCAGACCCTCAGTTCCCCTTCAGGAACTCGAGCTGCGTCGAAGTCGCTTTGGGAACGCCCTTGCGTGACCGCGTTCTGAAGCACATGTCAAATCAGTCCAATGGAGTAGCGAGACGTCACGAGCGGGGTGACGTCAGCACCAGAAAGTATAAAAGCGCATCCGGCAGAGCGCAAACCAGCGAATGGCGTTACAAACGCTGTGTTCCTCCCTGCCCACGATATCTGGTGGCGGGGGATACACACAATTTGTGTGTCGTTTGTTTGGGAGCGGAGCATGCACGGTCAGCTTTCGAGGAGCTGATTGTCATCACTGCGAGTTACTCTCGCTGCGCACGCTCCGCTCTCGCCTGGCTGTGTTTGATGAGAGCAGCCAGGCTCGCGATCTCGCTGGCAGCGGTCCCACTGTTTCCGAGGCATGGCGTAGACGGTTGTCGTGGGGATCGCAGGTGGATTTAGTGGAGGGATCCGAGACGGGCTCGTCCTTTTCTCGGTCCTCACCCGCTAGATCCGCGGCTCTCTCTCAGTGTTCGGAGAAGCCCAGACGCTTCATCTATCTTCCTCCAAGGAGGTGGATGTGGTGAGTGTCGAGACAGAGGAGACTGTGGGCTTGCCACCACAGTCCCTCGCGTATGAGGTGTGATTCGTGATTATGGGGTGTGTTTCACGCCAAAATAAAATATCGTTTGGCCAGCCTAGATACAGGACGCTCGTCCTAAAAATAATTAGACGAGCGTTTTCTGAATCCAGATCACAGCCTTCACGACGGGGGCCTTCCATTTTTCCCCGATCTCCATGCTGAGGTGTCAAGATCATGGGAGAAACCGTACTCATCCCGTATTTACAGCCCCACAGGGGTGCTGTGGGGCTGTAAACAGCAGTCAGGTCGGTTGTTCCCTCAGTGCCCTCACGGAGGTTCATTGATACCCCTGCCACCTCGGTGCTTCAGGGCTCAGGGAGCTACGACGAGCGAAATTCCCAGCTGCCGCCTGGCAATAGTACAGCACGGGAGAGCTCACCCCCTCAAGTGAGGGTGCTACAGCAGTCAGGTCGGTTGTTCCCTCAGTGCCCTCACGGAGGTTCATTGATACCCCTGCCACCTCGGTGCTTCAGGGCTCAGGGAGCTACGACGAGCGAAATTCCCAGCTGCCGCCTGGCAATAGTACAGCACGGGAGAGCTCACCCCCTCAAGTGAGGGTGCTACAGCAGTCAGGTCGGTTGTTCCCTCAGTGCCCTCACGGAGGTTCATTGATACCCCTGCCACCTCGGTGCTTCAGGGCTCAGGGAGCTACGACGAGCGAAATTCCCAGCTGCCGCCTGGCAATAGTACAGCACGGGAGAGCTCACCCCCTCAAGTGAGGGTGCTACAGCAGTCAGGTC